AATGTGAAAACATCCTTCTAGTGTCAAACTCTGCACATACAGCATTCAAACAGCACACTGTAGGAACAAGAAGAAACACTATTTTTTGACTAGAGAGGGACTTAAAAGAAATGTTGTTGACTCTTGGTAAGAGACAGAACACATCACAATCTCTGTTGTCAAAGTTGTACATTTAACCATCCATCCTTTTTCACATGGGAAACTGATGCTGTCAGTAGTGCAGGGACAGTAAACTGCGCAAAATGTGTCTTCAAGTTGTTTTTCAGTAAACTGAAATGAAATGAAACAATAGCTCCCTGGAGGATAAGAAGTCAACCTATATACTGAACATATGAAAATGGCTGTATAATAATTCAAAGTGTACATCATTTGTAGTTTAATAAAACATGCAAAAGTACAATATGGTCATTTAAGTTGACTTTACCTGTTCCATCCATCCATCCAAGCATCTCATCACTTGTTCTCACCACCCTTATGAATCTTTCTCTTTGCTTATCTATCGCTCTGTTCAGATGAGTCACTGTCCGTTGTTCATTATCTTACATCTCTCCTCTCTTCTTCTGCTCTTTCTTCATCCCACGTTCACACTGAGAGAATCGTGAGCATCAATCGCACCACAGAGCTCATTTCATTTTAATTGAGATGTCCATGTTAAGATGGACATGAATATTACATTCCACAGGCCTATTAATATGCTAAGGCCAGTCTAAATGTTTTAATATTCGCAGTGTAAATTATTGAAATTGTGTTCATGGGACGCACCAGATCATTCGTCAAAATGTTTATTCTCTGATGTTCAGGAAGTGATTTCCCATGATGCACTGCCACGTGTGGTTGACCACCCCTCCCTATGCTGGTGACCTCCGAGTCACCATTTTTAAGCTTTCTTAATTAGAGAGAAAGGCAAGGAGTGTGTGTGTGTGTGTGTGACAGGTATTTCTTTCTATATCTTCAGGCCTGTCTTTCTGTCTCCCCATCTGTTTTTGAAGTCCCCAAGCATGTCAGACAGACTCACACACATACCGGAAATTATTCTAAAAAATCCTCATCTGATGTTCCACTGAGCACAGACGCGTCGGGCAGCGGCCGTGGCGATAAAGTTGGCGTTTCGAGTGACTGCACTCGGCAATTTAAAAAAATTGCGGCTGTGGCGGACGTCGTTGCCCGCGGTTGCACTCACACACACGTGCGGCATGTTGGAGAGGAAGATGGATCGGAGCACAGATTGTAAGTGACATGTTAATTTCTTCTCCGTCACTCACGGCAGAGGCGTCCGCTATCAAAGTAAAGGGACACGAGCCCCAGCCATCAAGGCTCTCCTCTTCTTTCTCTCATTTCTCCCTTTTTCTTCTCTCGTCTTCCTGTCATGGAGTGTTCCCGGGTGTGACTGTGATCAAGGAGATGTTTAATGTAGCTTTCTGCTCACCCAACTTCCAGGATCAGTTTGATGCCTTTCCTCCACTAGATGACTGCTCTTCATAAGCCCCCTGGGTAGCTTCTCATTGTAAAGGTCAAACTACATGTTTAGACACTAAAAGGAAGAAGGCTGACTGTTGTTTGTGTGGGGTGTAAAAGGTAAAGAGTAAAGATGTCTCACTGGATTTATGATCTTTGCTCTCCAGCAATGTCTCTGCACCGCTCCAGGCAGCCAATTCAGGAGGTTACAGTGAGCAAAGCACAATTAAGTCCTGACAAAAGCCAAAGAGGGTCAGTAATATGTGTCAACTTTTCATCGGATTCAACAGTCAGCATTTTTATGAAGGCAACAGAAGAATAGTTGTTTACAGAAGTACAAGATTAGTGCACAGGAATACTGCATTTGCAAAGTGATTAAATCCCTTGACAAAAAACAGAGCCATCACGACCGTCCAGTTGAATCAGCAGTGTCAGCAAAGATTATTAATGCCACCAAAGTGTACTGTATGTTATTTTGTCCACACTTTTCCACAGTTATGAATGGTTCACCCTCACATGGACGTGTCACATTGTCCTATTCAACATCCAGTTTTAACAGGAGCATTTTAGTTTATTACACCATAAAGAAATGTGTCATCGTCTTGCTTGGCTGTGTTTGCTTGTTCTTTTAATTTCAGTGTTTGCACATTTACATTTACAAATGTTTAATGTAGCCTGCAGTGCACTGATAGCTGGAACTACTTTACTGTAGTTGTGAGTGTTGCAGGCTGTGTGTCAAGCGTTCTTCTGTTACCTTCAACTCCAGATCTCATTGTAATGACCAGTATCATTAATGTAAAGGTAAATAGCCAGCATAGGAGAGACTGAGGTGTAACCCTAACTACTGGGAGATGAATTCTAGATTCAAAACAACCTGCATGATGTTGTCCGTGCTTCTGACAGTGAGTGTATTTACCAAACTGCCTTTCTCTCTCTCTCTCTCTTTCTGTGTGCTCTCTGTGCTCTCTGTGTGTCTCTGCAGGCAGCCCTGGTACTACGGCTGGGGCTTCAACCTGCCGCGGGGTCAAGCTCTACTGGACAAGTGGAACCAGGTCCCCGACAACACAGACATCCTGGTCACACACTGCCCCCCACTGGGTGAGACACACATTACAACACACACACACACAC